TCTTCCCGTTCCTGTCAACTTATGTTCTGCTGGCCTAGAATTCTTAGTTCAGAAGGGAGTAATGCTTCTACCAAAAAACATAAGAATGTTTTCCACTGAATTGGAAGTTAAAATTGCAGCCTGACCACTTTGGACTCCTCATGCCTCTGAATCAATAGGCAAAGAAAGAAGTTACCATGCTTGGTGACCACCTGACTACCAAGTGGAAATTGGACTGCTACTTCACAATGAAGGTAAGGAAGAGTATGTCTGGTATACCGAAAGTCATCCCTAAAGTCATCTCTTACTATTACTGCACCATATGATTAAGGTCAGTGGAAAACTGCAACAATCAAATCCTGGCAGCAAAACTAATGACTCACATCCTTTAGCAATGAAAGCTTGTGTCTTTCCACCAGGTAAAGAACTATGAGCAACTGAGGTACTTGCTGAAGGCAATGGGAATGCAGAATGAGTAGTGAAAGAAGGAAGTTATATGTACTAGCTATGGCTACGTGTCCAGTTACAGAAATGAAGACTGTAATTGTCATGAGTATTTATTCATTATTTTGTTATAAACATGTTTTTGTATATGTATGTGTGTATATCTTTGTTTTATTTGTCCTTTATTTTATTATTATATAATGTAAAATATTTCGATTTGTATCGTATTTAAGTGTGGTTAATTTTATATCATAGTATTTAAGTTATGAAATATTGAGAAGACTAAATATCACTTAAGGACTTTGACTCCTCTGTGGAAAGGGTTAATGTGTTTCTGATTATATGCAGTATAATTATATCATGTTAGACATAATTATGACCTTATTATCATCTTCATTTGGAGATTAGGTATAGTTTAAAGAAATGCATATGGGTGCCAAGTTAATAAGGAGTGGACTTGCGATGGTTAATTTCATGCCTCAGTTTAAGTGGACAATGGGATGCCCAGATATTTGGTTAAGCATCATTCTGGGAGTGTTTATGGGGGTGTTTCTGGATGATATTAACATTCAAATAAGTAGAGTGAGTGAAACAGATTTCTCTCCACAATATGAGTGGACCTCATCCAAAGTGTTGAAGGCCTGAATAGAATAAAATGATTCTTTCTGCTTGACTGCCTTCTAGCTGGGACATTAGTCCTCTACTCCCTTTAGACTTGGACTGAAACTTATACTATCAGCTCTTTCTGACTGCAGATCTTGGACTTTCCAGGCTTTTTAATTATGTGCACCAATTTCTTATTGGTGTGTGTGAGTTTATCTCCTATTGAGTCTGCTTCTCTGGAGAACCTAGATTAATACAAGTGTCTAGGGGAAGACTGAAAATTAACAAAATCTTTTTGAGGATGATTTCAAAAATGATCAGACACATTGTTGATATGTCAATATGTTTTTAAGCATTTTGTTATTCTTTATAAAAATTGTTCTATACCTAAATGGTAAAAATTTTGAAAAGTAGTCACCGGTATATTATATTTTTCTCATTGTCTTAATTTCTTTGAGAATATATATGGTCTAATAGCTTCATAGTGTTTTTATATGAAGTAGTTTTATCATGTGATCACTACATAAAGTAAGTTTAAAGTTTCTAAGTTTTTGACCAAAGGTTTTTTATTTAACTTTAATGTCTTCTTTGATAAAACAGTCTTGAAATGTTCTAGAACAGAATGGAGTAAACTTCTTCCAATTTGTTTCTGTGAATTTTATCCTTATTTGAAAACCCTGAATTTCTTCACCCAGGTTCTACTTCAATTGGGCACTTACAAAGCAATTCTTCAGTCAGTGTCTCTAATGTCTCCCCGCTTCCCAACAAATCTATGAAGACAGAACAAAAGATGCAACTCACAGAAACACAGAAAATTAAGACTGTCAGAGGACATAGTGCTTGATTCAGAGGTGGTTGGGAGAAAGATTTTCACTGAATAGCAGAGTAATGGAAGATTATGATAAAAATAATTAATGGTCTTCTCCAATCTCTTTCCCTACAACAGAGGAGTCATGTTTCCTTAAAAACAACAGGCAGACGTCTCACTGAAACCTCACTGAATGCCCACAATCTAGAGACACCAGGTCACAACCTAACAGGACACTAGGCCGTCATCCTTACGTAAAAGTGTTGTTTCTTAAGGTACCAAGGCTTACTTATCCTCCACCTTCCCCTAACACCTCTTCCAACCTCATCACATACAAGTATGTACATCTGAATTAAAAACACAAGCAGGTGGTACAGGGTTGAACAGGGGGAGTTAACATCTTAGAAAACATCATCCTCCAGGTGTGGAACCATAAATGGACTAGGGAGAAGCTCCTAAAGTAGTACAGTATAGTATTCCCCTTGTATTTCATCTGCAAAGTGTCAATGGTACAGATAATGGAGTTGGAAAATGGTTCTATTTCAGTCTAGAGACATGAAACTGATAAACTTTTGTTAGACACTGATGCATGGCTAAGACTCATAGACATTAGGTACCCTTTCATCTATACTGATATAAAAAGGTGATTTGGTTAGTACCTGGTAGAGAGTGAGCAGCATCAAATGAAATTGATACATTTTCTGATGGTAAACACTGAATCTGGATGACTTTGACTTAAGAATAGCAAAGAGGAAAAAACAAAAACAACAACACAAGGTCTCGCAGGAAAGATAAAGAGAACATTATACTGAGGCCCAAGAAGAATCTGAAAATGATTTATTACAGAAATCTGAGCTCACATAAGAAAACGATATGAGAGTATTAAGCACTAAGACATGGCCTCTAGAAACCTTTTGAACCTCAACCAGAGAATTTAGCGAAGGAAAGTCAGGTGTTTTAGTAATAGACATAGAAATGTGTATGTGGGTGTTGTAGTATATGCTATGCATGGAACTGCATATATACACATCTTAATGTATAGAGTGATATTTATATATGTGAATAGACAGGGAGATAAATAGATAAGTAGGTAGGTAGGTAGATATAAATAGGTAATACAAGAGGAAATCCCATAAGATTTATTTTGATCTCATTTGTTGGTAAAAATGCCTTCAATAGCACTCACCACTCATTCCTAATTTTTAAAAATTAATTCCTACCAAATTATGAATTGATAACATACCTTAAAAATTACTTTTAAAACTATTGAATATTATATTTACAAAAAAAGAGTATTTGCTAATACCCTTACTAATTAACACAGACTTTGACTTTCTTGCCAAGGCAATAAAATATAATACTGAAATGAGTGAAGGCAAATTTTTGTTATTATTTGCAGACAATATGACTATTTAAATAGAGAACTCAAGAGAATAATCTGCAAAAGTCTGAGAATTAATATTAAAGTTCATTACAGTGATTGGATACAAATTAAATGGCAAAAGTTGATAGTTTTTCTGTACAGCAGCAATAACCAATTAGTGTACCTAATATGAAAAGGTACTATTCACAAAATAGTAATATGTTATTAAGAAATGTACACAACCTATATCAGGAGTCTTAAAATACTTTATTAAACAATATAAATAAAAACTTTAATATAATGAAAATAGAAACTGTATTTCCATAATGGAGCACTGGATTTTTTAAAATATGCAGATAACTTGCAAATTAATGATAGGGTTAATAAATGTTATTTGAGATCATGATAAAATAATTCAAAGTTCATTTGTGAGAACAAACAGGTAAATGTATCTATGAACATTATGGAGAAAGAAAAATAATTCACATCTTTTAATACATTAAGACAGTTGTTTAAATATGTTATGATGTTAAAACACTGTGGTTCTGGTTCATGAACTACAGTCAGATTAATAGAATAGGATAGATAGTATTTGGACACACTATAGTATATATCATAATTTAGGTTATGGCAAAAACAGAGGGCATCATAAACCAAAGGATTAAAAGATGTAAGTTTCTAAACAAATGGTATTGGGAGAACTAATTATTGAGTTAAAAAAGAGCCCTAATTCATAATATTTACTAAACAAATAACTTGCAGAAAGTTGTTAAATAAATAAAGCAAACAAATAAATGAATATACAATGAGGCTTTAAAAATTTTTTAAAGTATACTTTAAGTTTTCCTTCCTTCCTTCCCTCCTTCCTTCCTTCCTCTCTCCCTCCCTCCCTCCCTCCGTCCCTCCCTCCCTCCCTCTCTCCCTCTTTTTCTTTCTCTCTCCCTTTCTCTCTCTCTCTCTCTCTCTCTCTCTCTCTCTCTCTCTCTCTCCCCCCCCCTTTCTTTCTTTTGTTTTGGAAGTCTCGCTGTGTTGCCCAGGCTGGAGTTCAGTGGCACAATGTTGGCTCACAGCAAGCTATGCTTATCAGGTTCAAGTGATTCTCTTGTCTCAGGCTCCCGAGTAGCTGAGACTACAGGGGTGCACTGCCACGCCCAGCTAATTTTTTTTATTTTTAGTAGAGATGGGGTTTTGCCATGTTGGCCAGTCTGGTCTCAAACTTCTGACCTTGGGTTATCCAACCACCTCGGCCTCCCAAAAATTTGGGATTAGAGGCATGAGCCACCACATCTGGCCTGTTTGACGTTTTTTATATGGTCTTGGAACAGATAAATAGCTTCTATATAGGTCAACTAAAATGTGTTCAGAGACACACCAACTGCACGAAATGCTTTATGAATGAAGGGTGCCATAGTCAAATATGTTTTGTCAATGCCCTTTGGCACTGCAGTGCGTATTAGCTTCCTACAAACATAAAAAATATGAAAGAAAACCACTTAAATTTATATATCTTCATTTTCATCAAATTTATTACACCATATAATTTTATTTATTTAACAAAACTTTTTAGAAGCCTAGTGTTTCATAGATTAAACTTTGGGAAAAACTATTCTAAGTATAAAAATAATAGCATATATAATAATGTTTAAAGTATCAATGTATTTTATTAATGATTATAGACTTTTTATATAAAATAATTCATAAGAAATTAAAAGGTAATTGATAAAGAAAATATTCAAAATAAAAATAATAAAGGGATAATATTGCTACTACATAATATAGTATTTTTTAACACCAAATCTAGAGGAAAAAGAAATATACTGATAAACAATAAATAAAAGACAAGAAAATTCACAGAAGAAATATGAATGGTCAATAAATATAAGACATAACTCAACCCACTGATAATAAAAGAAAGTTTAAGCATTCATTTTCCTAGTAATTGAGCAAGTATATGTACATCATTATTAGCAACAAAATTTATAATAATACCATTATGTATGATACCTCATTATATGAGACACTATGAAAGGTACTTTAAATGAGTTCTTTAATTTATTCAAAATAAAATACAGTGCAAAATGCTAAAAATTAAGGAAGAGAAAAACTTTTACATATTTGGGCATTGTACCATTATTCACTAAACTTACTGAGGGCTTTGGGCATCCAGTGGAAAGAGCATTAAAATAATGTATACACCTTATGTAGTAAAATCCTAACATTGTAACATTATATTATATAAGATTGTATTAACATTATATTAAATAGAAAAAAATAAAAACATTAAAACAAAACTTATAAAAGAGGTTATTTAAGAAGATACTGTGTGGCAGTGATAAATTGGAATCAGAAATGTATGTTAATAGGGAAATGACTGGATGAATCACTGTATATTCACTTTCCAGAATACTCTGTAATAATTACAATTATGTTTTCATAGACTATTGGTGAGACAAAATGCTCATGATATGGTATCTTGTACTTAGCAGGATATTAACTTTATATGCTAATTGAAAATTACTGTGTGTTTAAGTGTGTGCACTCATCTGTGTTTTGTTGCAGGGTGATGAGTTCATGTGATTTTTTAAAGATGTTTAATTCTTAAATATTTTATGTATTTTCTAAAATAAGCATGGATATTTTATGGCAGAAAGTATTTAAAAATAAATTTCTTATTAACTTGTCATTCCCCTCTTCCCCACCTCCATTACAGGCATTAATTGCCTTCCATTTTGTCATCTTTATTTTTACATGTCTGACTTGTTCACTTTGCAACCCTTGTTCCTTGCAGGGTGGCTTCCAGATTTAGGTGGTTTCAAAAACACTCATATTACTTGAAATCTATTTCAGTATTTAGCAGTTAGGGCCAATAGAAATTTATTTTGCAAATTGTTGTCCTCTTGTATTATGTAAGGGGTGAGGCTTGGAGAAATAAAACTTGGAAGGTATCATTAAAACAAGAAGTAAGGGAGGAGAGAGAAAATAGAAATGTTGTGTTAATCCATGTAATCATTAACCAATCAATCTAATCATTCACAGATTTGGTTAGAAAACACAATATATTTATTATCTTGTTTCTTGCTAGATTTACAGATCATTGAAGACATGGCCTCTGCTCATTCTAGTCTTCCACAAAAAGAATGAAGGTGGGACTCTGAGCTCCTGGGGAAAATAAAATTGTAACAATGGCAGCATCCAAAGTTTTGTGTAATATTGGGGGCAGAGAAATTAATTTGTCTTTCTCATCAGCCATAATTTCATTTAAATAGGGGGATGGTTTCACTCTTATTGGGTCTGGGACCCATGTTGGTTTATCACGCATTGCAATGATGTTTTTCTCAACAGCGTTCCATCAGGTGGGATAAGTGTGGAGAATGGACGGCAGCTGGGCACCCGAGTGGTTCCTGCAGAGTCAAGAGAAACAAAGTGAGAAGAGAAAAAAATAATTCCTTCCAAATCCTCTGAAGAATATATACCAAACAGATAGAGCATAGGTCCTGGGAGATAAAGCAGACTAGCACTGAAGTTGGGATGGGGTGGGGTGGGGGAGTGGCATGTCATTTTCTGAACCTTGAAATATATATATTTTTTTATTGAGTTATAACTCATATAACATGAAATTTACATCATAAAGCATATAATTAAAAGGTTGTGGTGTATTCACAGAGTTGTGCAACCATCACCAAATTCTAAGTTTATAACATTTTCTTTGTTGAGAACTTTTTAAAAACAAGTTTATGGGAATAATTTTTAGAATCAAATTCTTTAAATATTTGCCACATGTACAAATCAAAATCAGTTTGGTAAACAGTGTTTTCAGTACATTAGCAAAAAAAAAAAAAAAAGCAATGTCTTTTCCTTTTCATGTTTCCTCAACATTTACGAGAGTATGACTTAATTATATGTTTTCATATGATACTGCTAAGTGAACTTCTCACTATTTTTTCAATTCTTGCCCCCTCAGTTGGTGAGTAAGATCCTAGGGGCTGGGAATTTACAAATATGTATACATGAAAACAAGGTCATCGATCTTCCAAAAATGGGGGGGGGGGGAGATTTTCCTAAAATTTCTGCTATTTTCCACATTGTGCTTCTAACTCTACAAAACATTGGTTAAAAACTGCATGCCGAGGTGGGTAGATCACTTGAAGCCAAGAGTTTGAGACCAGACTGGCCAACACAGTAAGCCCTGTTTCTACTAAAAATACAAAAAATTAGCCAGGCGTGGTGGTGCGCACCTGTAGTTCCAGCTACTTGGAAGGCTGAGTCACCAGAATTGCTTGAACCCAGGAGGCTGAGGTTAAAGTGAGCCAAGATTGTGCCACTGCACTACAGCCTGGGTCACAGAGCGAGACCCTACCTCAAACAAACAAACAAAACTAAAACAAAAACTGCATGCCTTTTAAAGGTAGGCAGCAAAGCCTCCAAAAATACAGTCTCCCAGGTCATTGCTTTCAGGCTGAGAATCATTTCTTTGGAACGTTCTGTATCTTGAGCAATAATTTTGGGATTCAGGAAAATTATGGAGAGAGTTAACTAGCAGAAAGATATACAATCTACCTTTTTCTCACATAATATAGGATTTTGAAATTGCTAATAATTATTACTCATCAGAAATGAGAAGCCTGTCATAATATGAAATGAAGCCTATTGATATGATTTGTAACTTTAATATAAAGCAAACTCGAGTCTCAATGCTTTGAGGTGACACTGACTGTAAAGCCCCTCATCATCTCGTCATTCAGTAAAGACATTCTATGGGGATAACTGTGGAGACTGAGAATGAATGAGGGAAATAAACTCAGAACAGGTTATTGTTGTTTTCTGAAGGCAGGTATAATTTCAACTTATAAGAAAATCCATGTTAACTGAATGATGAGTTTATCTTCTTTTCAAAAGGGATAATATTTAGTATTAAACCTTCATTGTTTTAATTCAAATAATGCTGGTCCCCTGATCTTTTATCCAGAAAGGACTGAATCCCTAAACCTTAATTCAAATGTTCCTATTTATTCCCAGTAGCCTTAGGCAAAGATATTCAACCTCCATGCCTCATTTTCTCCATCTGTAGAATGGCAGTAATGATGCTTACCTGTCTTTCAGGAGTGTTACAAGGCTTCATTAGTTGTTTGTAAAGTACTTTGTAGATGAAGAACTCAGCATAAATGCTAAGTACCATTGTTATTATGGCAGTTTTATGTTCTGTGCATCATTGCATTTTTTTCTTTTAAAAATATTTCAATTTTCCATCTGTCATTTGTAATACATCAAACAAAAGCTAAATTCTAAAATTCTCTCACATTACCCTGCTGAGAAATGTACATAACTAAAAGTCTCCAGACAGTATGCACAGTCCCCAAGTGCTTCAGGGCAGTCTCACAAAACTCACTGTCACCAAGCAACAATATTACACAGCCCATGTATAACTATTTTCAGAAATGCTCATCGTCCTGCAAATATTAAGATACTGAAAATAAATGAAAATCAGTGATGGTTTTGTCTTTGAATATTATCAGGACTGCGTTTTGATTTCACAATAGTGAAAAGCCATTTGAGGTGTTGGTGGGTTTTGCCTCCTTTTCCTCCTTACTTCCTGTCTCCCATGCCTTCTACTTTCCTTGTCCTGCCTTCATTCTTTTAAAGATATTGTCAAACAAAGCAATTTAACATGGACTGAATCAGAATTCATAAATACTTTAAAAAAAATCTTACATGTAGGTGATGGCTCACTGTGGCTACTTGTTTTGTGGTTTTTTTTTTTTTGCAAAAACAAGTTTTTCCAATACCATTTCCCTTCTGTTTGGGCCTACTTCAATACAGCCAACATTAAACGGTGAGCAACAAATAAAGACACATTACAGCAGGTCTAAGCACAATTGTCTCCCCAATCCATGTACTTGATAAATGCCCTGTTTCAGCTAAAAAAGATGTATAACGTTTCCCTTATACTAAATTTAGTGGTGAAAATCTTTAATAACTAAAACTGACTATAATTTCCTTCTTTCGACTGTTCTATTTCAAGGTCTCATAAATCCTTTTTATTGATTAGTTTTACACAGAATGCTGTAGAGCTCTAAACACAAGAAATTAAACTGAATGGCAGGTGGATTTTTTTCATGGTCTTTTCAGCTAACCCAGCAAAAATGAATTTTAATGTAATGGTTGACTTTGTGAATATTTCTTCCTTTTTATTATTTTTAAAGTTTCTGCTAATGTGTGTAATTTTATGTCACATACTTTTATTCTGACTTAATTATAGAAAAGGATAACAACAACTTAAAATACTGCCCCAATTTTATTTTTGCTTCTTTGAAGTGTATCATCTGAATTCACATGTTGATATACATTATCTCTTAAGAAGAAATAATGAAATCTCTCATCAAAATGATTGGCATATAATTATGAAACTGGCTTCTGAATCAAATGTCAAGAAAACCTCCTGCATGGAAGCTAGGAAATAGATTTTTCACCTCTCTTGTATATGGAAAAAAACACACTAGCCTTAGATTTAGATAATTAATACAGTCTTCCAATAACATATTTGAATGGGAAAAACAGTTTCTACTAAAAAAAATACACAATATAGCACAAATAGTTAAAAGATTTTAATGCATTAAAAGGGAGTATAGATGTTTGGAGGCAATTTGCAGCTTCTGCATATTGTGCTTACAAATTTACAAATTCTGTTTTCTCTGAAGAGGAGATAGGTTTTCATAAGAGGAAAAAGAATAGAAGTAGCATCCCTGAGGTCTTTCCTTGAGTTTTTGGGTATTTGCTTTTCTTAAGTCACTCTATTAGGAAGCTTCTAGCTCCAAAACACAACTGTGGTACACAGAGTATGAAAATAAGAGGTGTTAGAGATCTCATATCTCATAGTTAAGGTGACACCTCTTGGGGAAGACCTGTGTGGAACCAATGATAACTCTGGGTACAGAATGGACAATAGCTGCCTTCTTTGGTTAAGAAGATCAGAGTAAATAATGACTGTGAGATGCCTGGAGTTCACTTATTTTGAGATCATGTGATTCAAACTAGTAAATGACAAGGAGCTTATATTTAGGGAGAGAATAAAAGGGAATTCAAATCCTGAGAAGCAGATAGAGAAGTGGAATGAGAAGTGGGTACTGCTTATCCTAATTCAACCATTATAAAATATGGAAGACTCAGTCTAGGACAGAAACATGAAACATATTAAAAGCAAAAGATTTTTTAAAATACTCAGCTAGAAGAAAGAAAAATCCTAACAGCAGCCACAAAGAAGTTAAAGAAAATGTGCTACCTTTTAAAACAGATTAAGAAAATTAAGAGATTTTAAGGAGACACATTTTCTTTCAGAGTTATTGGTTCTGCAGAGAATATGTATGGGTACATAAAGATGACATCACGGAAGCCAGCACTGTATGCCTTTGGATCTCTCCCTTAATGGAAAGATTTGATCCAACATTGGTAAAGTATAAATCATTTCTGTGCTGTGTTCCCTGTAATTAGTGATATACATGTGTATACTAATTGCAAAATCGCAATACAGGGACATCTTATTTTTTCTTTAATAATGTCTTTGCAATTAGAAAAAAAGATTCTAAAATTATATGGAGTCGACAAAGAGCCCAAATAACCAAAGCAAGTCTAAGCAAAAGGAATGGATATGGAGGCATCATATTACCTGACTTCAAATTATACTACAAGGTTATAGTAACCAAAACAGTATGGTACTGGTATAAAAGTAGACATATATTGGATAGTCACATGTAAAATTGTGACTCCTATAGCCACAATGAAATTGGATCCCTATCTCTTATCACATACAAAGATTAGCTTAAGATGAATTAAAGACTTAAATTAAGAGTTGAAACCATACAGATTCTAGAAGAAAACCTAGGAAAAACTCTTCTGGGCATTGGCCTAGGCAAAAAATTTTTGACTAAGACCTCAAAGGCAAAGACAACAAAAAGGAAAATAAATAAATGGGACATAATTAAGCTAAAATACTTCTGCACATCAAAAGGAATAATTCATAGAGTAAACAGACAACCTACAGAATGGAAGAAAACATTTGCAAACTATACATCTGATGAAGGAGTAATGTCCAGAATCTACAAGGAACTCTAACAAATCATCAAGAAAAAAACAAAAAACAAAACAATTCCACGAAAAAGTGGGCAAATGACGTGAGCAGACATTTATCCAAAGAAGATATACAAACATCCAACAAACATATGAAAAAAATGTTCCACATCAATAATCATCAAGGAAATGCAAATTAAAACCACAATGAGATACCATCTTACCCCAACCAGAATGGCCATTATTAAAAAGTCAAAAAACAATAGATGTGAATGAATGTGAAAGGGAACTCTTACACACTGCTAGTGGGAATGTAAATTCGTATAGTATGGAGATTTCT